GTGTTATGTATACTGCTTGGAAACCTAAGGACAATTATGACATGGCGAGCGAGTATTTTGTACTTCAATTTTATGGCTTTCCGTCACTCACAAGTTGGTTTGATGTTACGTACATTATTAACATTACAGAATCCACATATTCCTGCCAGTTTTAATATGTATTTTGTAATCAACAAGTGTGTAACCCCGGTCAAAGTTTGACACTTCTCGGGCCATTATCTCCGTAACCGTTCAACTTTGGACATAGATGTTTTGGGTTATATCGGCATACTTTAACATAAGGAACACCCTCCCGAAGTTTGGCACATTCCTCCTGGGACACCCTGTATTGACAACTTGACGTTATACCTTATGTCACAGTGATGTGTAGGAATGTTAACTGGTTGAAATACTTGCCACCTGTACAGTTACCAGTGAAATTACTTTAATACTCCCTTGTACATTTCTATACATATATGGCAATGTTGGCACTACATTTTTTCAACCCTCATACAAGCATACCCATGTGTACTCTCATTCCCCCGTTCAGGAAGAAAGGGAATTACATCTACCATTAAGTGATTTACATGTAGTGTGAACATTATGGATTATGATCAAGCTTATGTAACAAAAACATTGAGAATGCAACCATAGGTCTGCAAAGTAACATCTGGAACTGGCATCAGAGCTTAACCCTTTGAGGTCTGTTGAATTCAATCTGACATTTGCAAAAGTTATGTTCTGGTTCGATACAACTCTTTATTAAGTCCATCACAACACAACAATACAGTGTTCAAGGCCAAATTAGCTTTGCTACATGTTTTGGCTATTCATAACCATCATCATGTTTACACACTAGTGAACTGCAATCTGTATTCCCTACAGAACGGACATGAATACATCGTACGATGAGGCACCAACCAAACAATTAATGTTAAAACTATACTTCATGGGCCTCCAAATAGTTTATCATATTATGATACATATGTAATGGCCATCTTGTAGTGCACTCAATTTCATATGTCGCTTCTTATTACATGTTTCGGCAACATAGTGCCATCTTCAGGTTCGTTATTTACGCTAAGCTGTTACATTGTTTGCCATCTTGTGTCTTTCATAAAATTATTTAGAAAGTACATTATTCGTCAACTATAATAAAATTTGTATATAATAAAACTTGTTAAGATTATTCATCTATATGTCTAAATTCGAACTCGCGTATAGTATGGTTCTTCCACTGTGGGAGTAATTTCTGTGTGTGCTGTGTCAGTGATGTGTCCTACAACGCTCGCAGCCAAAAAGGAAGGACACATCACAGACACAGTACACACAGAAACGACTCCCACAGTGGACGAACCATACTATACGCGAGTTTGAATTTAGACATAATAGATGAATAATCTTAACAAGTTTTAGTATATACAAATTTTATTATAGTTGACGAATAATGTACTTTCTAAATAATTTTATGAAAGACACAAGATTGCAAACAATGTAATAGCTTAGCGTAAATAACGAACCTGAAGATGGCACTATGTTGCCGAAACATGTAGTAAGAAGCGACATATGAAATTGAGTGCACTACAAGACGGCCATTACATACGTATCATGGATGAAAATCAGTGGAACAGGACGCTAAAATACAACATTATGAATAGTTTATCATATAAAAGTCTAGAACATACCACGTCCACGGGAGAATAAAAGATTGCAACAACTGACTTCGTGATATAAATTATCATTCGAATAATTTTAACCTTATTTTATGAAATAACTCTTGTTTTATAATAAGTCTATATTTCATTGTAATTTTATACCATGTGTTTTATAATATGATAACTGTCAAGTATCCAGACTTACTACGCAATTGCAATTCACTAGTCTGTAAACATGATGATCGTGTATTTCCCTGATGATGGCTATGAATAACCGAAACATGTAGCAAAGGTAATTTAGCCTTGAACACTGTTTTGTTGTGTTGTGACGGACTTAATAAAGAGTTGTACATAATAACACAACAGGATGCATGAAATGAAAATTAGAAAATTCTGGTTGAATGTTGGGCTGAGTCTGACAATCCCTACAATATCAAAATGCTTTGAAGAATTAACTAAACTTTAACCTCCTGGTCTCTAATTTATTCAAATAAATGAGCCTTAAATGTAAGTCAGTAAATCAAGTTTGAAACGTATCCAAATAAAATAAGTGTAATATGGTGAGGAGTTGTCAAAATGTCAAAGTGATGGTTCATAATATCATAATAAATCATGAAACAATGCATGAACACAACCATCAGCAGGGAAGGTTATGCTGACTCTCTTTTGGGACGAAAAAGACGTCATCTTGGAGCACTACACGCCAGAGGGACAACTGTCACCAGTTCATCATACTCAGATCTCCTAAAAAATCATCTTCGGCCTGCAATCAAATCAAAGCAACATGGATTGCTGTCCACAGGTATCCTTTTGCAACATGACAATGCAAGGCCCCATACTACCCGTACAACAGTTGCGACAATCAATGACCTGCATTTTGAGGGTCTTCCTCATCTGGCATATTCACCAGACCTTGCCCCAAGTGATTTCCATATGTTTGGACCACTCAAAGAAGCAATGGGAGGAAAGACATTCTGTTCTGACGAAGAGGTATGCCACGTGGTGCATGAGTGGTTGCACGGACTACCATTGAGCATGGGGGAGACTATGTTGAAAATTGATACAGCTTTGTACCACTTGTGCACAATAAATAATACTCAAAAAAATATTTAAGGTTTTCATTTGACTCACCTACGTATAAACATAATGATGAATCAAAACTCTGGGGATATATCAGACAAATTTAATACAGCCGCAATAGCTACACATTTGGGATATGAACAGAAATATGAGGGGCAGTCAAATGAAAATGGGTCAGAAGCCAAAACATATTAAAGAACATCTCTTAACTCAAAAGTAATCTCCAAAACTGTTAATACATTTATCCCACTGGGAGATAAGACAGTCAATCCCATCCTTGAAAAAGCTTGCGGGCTGTCTAAGGAACCACATCTTTACCCAGCCACACGTGTCTTCGTCCGATGCAAACCGATGTCTGAACCGTTACCTACCTGGACTGTAACCTGTCCAAAATTTCAGGAGAGGGAAAGGGGGAGGAGTTCATTCACTTGTTGTTGTGGGAAATACACGCACAAATCGAGAGCTATGCTGAATGAGTTTAATAATTACAATAATATAATAACGAAATAAATATACATTTAACAATAATAAAGAAAAAAAAACATATGAAGTGAATACCAGAAATAATATTACAAAAAACCTAGCATGACCCACTCCAGTCATTCAAGCCAATACCTTATTCATGGGCCACCGTCCATTTCACTGACCATTTACTTTCACAAACCAAGGAAAGAAAAAAAATACCAATACTCACATGTGTACATATACTCACAGGGTACCCATACATATATATTTATATAAAACACCTTTGCCTCGTCATTGCTCCGTAGCTTGGCAAAGGGGCCCTCTCCCGGGACACACAGCGCTGACTTCCAAAAATAAATTTAATTTTGAAAAAGAAAGGAAACCAAACAGAAATTTCTAAGAGCAGGGACAACCACCCTGTACGACTGCCATCCAGGGAAAGAGAGCGATCGATCGTGTCATCTTGCCACGACAAGAAAAGGAGGAAGGAAAAAAGAGGGGGAGGGTCACGTGACATCATTGAAAAGAACTTTACTGGAAATATGTGAGCATTGGCTGTGGTGGACTGCAATTCCATGACGCCTTTCACGGGGCGAACCCTTTGAATCGTCTTCAGATGGTTCATGTCCACGAATGTCTCTCTTCAGGTCTCCAAAAATGTGAAAATCACATGGGGAGAGATCTGGGCTGTAGGGGGGATGTTGAAGCACTTCCCAACCAAATCTCTGTAGCGTATTCCTCAAGAGTTGGCACTGTGGGGGCGTGCATTATCATGAAGAAGGATAATGCCGTTAGATAGCATTCCAGGGCGTTTTGACTTTATGGCACGTCTCAGTTTCTGCAAAGTGTCTTCATAGCACTGTGCACTGATTGTGGCACCATGCTCGAGAAATTCGACAAGCAGAGGGCCCTTGCAGTTGAAGAACGTCATCACCGGAACTAGTGTGTATGGCTTTGGATTTCTTCGGTGGGGGAGAATTGACGTGTTTCCGCTGTTGGCTCTGCTGTTTGCTCTCGGGTTGAAAATGGTAGCATGAAGTTTTGTCCCCAGTGGCAATAGGACAGAATAGCATACTCTTGCTCATGGTATCGTTGTAGGTGACCCAGTGATGCAGCCGTTCTCTGAGTCTTCTGTTCCTCTGTGAGTTGACATGGAACGCACTGCGTGTAGATTTTGCGGTACAGCAGGTGTTTTGTCACAATGGCGTGGACGGAACTGTGACTTATTTCCATAAAAAGATTAATTTCTTCCACAGTGATCTCTCAGTTTGCTTGGATATGACCATCCAACACAGCAATAACATCAGGAGTGATGATGCGATGAGCCTGTCCTCTTGGAATCTCTTATGCCACACCAGCATAGGTGAACGTGACATGCTGTGTTTGCCATAAGTAACAGAGATGCGATGATGAATTTCTCGTCCTCCTACTCCTTCAGCAGTAAAAAAACGCATTACACTTCATTGTTCTTCTTTACCTGCCTCTATTACTGATGTTGGACGACGACACATAGTGCTAACCTTGCTTCCAGCACAATAAACAAACAACTACTGTGCAAGGGCACGTTGTCACTGTGCTTTCTCGAGTCCCCACCAGATGTTTGTACTGTAAGCAAATTCAAGTGTTACCAACTTGCGCGCCATGTGAGTTATGCATGGTGACCCGTTTTCATTTGATTGCCCCTTACGGATCACTGCACTGTATATTTAACTTATTTATTTTTAACAATCAAGTTCCTTCCGTCAAATGTGACACTTTTTTAAGTTTTCCACCTCGTCACCACCTGCCTTACATGTTTCGGCTCACCACGGAGCCATCATCAGAGGCATTTATAGTAGAAAAAGAAATCACCAACACACAAAACTTCAACTTATTTATTTTTCTTGCTACCATTACCACATTGGCTGAATCATTTGAAGGAAAGCAGGCATCATAAATTCTTACCAAAACTTCTTAAAATAATTTTTAAATGCATACAGCTGTATCTGTAATGTCTTTGGGACTTTGGAAGGAAACACAAGACCTGGACAGTCACACAGTCTTACATTATGAGTTAGGTAGATGGTCTGGAAATGTTTCATGTGCCCTGGGGTCCTAGAAACACTCACAACCTGGAATAAGAAAATGTACATTGCTGTAATCTGGAACACATTAATAACAGAGAAAATCAGTACCACACGGCATAATCAAGAAAGTTTGCAACAAGACAAACTTTCATTACTTACTTCAAAAGTCATGGCAACTATTTTTTTTGGGGGGGGCAAACACGTTACAGTGAAGAAAGTTCAAAATATGCTTATTAAAGGGCATGATATACCCCTCCAATTGGCTTAGTCAGATCAGGTAGATGTAAAGAGGCGTAGGTATACTAGGCAAGAAAAATTGCACATTACAGAATGACTGTTTTTTTTCATTCTTTAATCCTCAAAAAATTGAATTGTGATTAAGCAATAACAAATTCAATGTGAGTTTTGTAAAATTAGATGCACAGTTGCCTGGTCAATCCCTGTATGTTCTCTAACTCCTTCAGAGACCAGCGCCTATCTTCCTCCAGACATTGGGCGATCACAGCACAAGAAACATCGGCACTTGCTTCTCTTCCATGTTGGAATGCTTCTATCCACCTTGCAACAGTTCTGTATGGTAGAGCACGATCACCCAGAGCTTCCACAAGCTATGAGTGACATTCAGTTGCATGTCTGCCACGAAGCACTGCTATTTTCACGTAGCAACGCTGTTCCAGCTGGCTAACCTTCATCCTCAACGAAGGTTATGACCACACTGACTTCGCGCTGGACTCGCTTCGTTGTCCTTGGACTTCCGCATCTTCTAGCGGCATCATTAGAAATCAGACGTTGCTGTCTCTCAGCGGCAAATTTGGAAATTCCAGTCGGAGGTTTCGAAATTCGGAAAAATTATGTTGCCACGACTTTTGAAGTAACCCACGTATGTATGGACTGACGGGTGAATGAATGCATCAAAGAAAGCCAATATACATACACAAAATTATAAGTGAAACAAACAAATCTGTTGAAATAATGTAATATATGAAAAAATAAAATATCAAGTTAAAGATGGAAGATGAAGAACCATTAGTTTATTTACTTCAGAAGAGAAAAATGTACCCAACTATGGCTAGTCCATGAACATGGGGGGGAAAAAAAAACAGATTCCATGATTGTGTTTATTAAACTAATTTTAATTAAATACAATAGGAACCTTTATTATTGATGATACACTTGCAAGCCTCAAGTAGTGTCTTTGCTCCTTCAGCTGCCATTCAAAGCTTCCCTCATCTACGACGAATTTGTAAACCTTAAAATAATAATAAAACAGAAGGAACACCAAGGTAGAAGCCTTGTTTATGCATAAACATAAACTCCTTTTAGAAACCATACTATTATGATGTGAGAAGCGGCCTCCGTAGTCTAGGGGTAACGTTCCCACCTCATTACTCAAGGTACGCGGGTTCAAACCCGGCGGAGGTCGTGGAATTTTTAAGGACGGAAAAATTCAGGGTACAAGTCCTCCGGGAGGGACTTTAAGCCGTGGGTCCCGTGTCGTAGCTTTACGGCATGTAAAAGAACCTCATGCCTCAAGGAGGTCTCTGAGCCAAATTACAAGGACGTTTCCCGCCCAACAATAGTCTCTAACGCCTCTGGTAGAGGGGGGAAGCATCTAGATACCGCTGAGCCAGTAGAGGCCGAACTCGCTGGCTGAGTCGGGACTGATGGCACGCACCAGTATCGGTAGGGTATAGAGACTGGTAGAATATCACAGCGGGACGTACAATGGACCACTGGTTGCCGTGCATGGGGAAACCCACCCCCTCCAATAATAATAATAATAATAATAATAATAA